AGCTTATTTTTCTTGTTTGCTAAATAACTTAAGGGTTTTTTTCCCCAACGCTTAATTGCTCAGAGAAAAATCTTTACCCTTCTTACCCTAAGATGAAACATATTTCAGCTTCCTCAATAACCCATATAATTTTGATATGGGGGAATGAATAGATTATACTGATATTCTATAAAATTATAATCCAGAAACAGCTGAATACTCTTAGTGGGTTTTCCAACATTACATGAAAGGAAAAAGACAAGTGGAGCTTGCATGGGAAATATTTTATCAAAGTGGATAAACTCAGATGCCAGTGATAAGTATTTTCAGTGGTCTCATGGCTGCCAGTCACACCTTCTTCCACATCATACCTTCTAGAGTGACTTCAGGTTGCTGAATTTTATTCAGAGTGCCAAGAGTGAAAATATTCACATCCTGCAAAATTAGTATTACAAAACCAAAATTCTAATTGAGGCATAACTATTTTGCACATTTATATATTCTCAAAATTGTGTATAGCAAGTATTTGTGAGATTTAGTCTGTTGAGACCTCCTTATACCTTCAGAAGAAAAATGTTTCTGCAGAAAGATTAATATATAATACAAATCGCACTTAGAACCATCAGTTACACTTTCAGAAGCATCCCATCCTTTCCATCACCCAGTCTCTGTGCATTGAATTTCTCTGAAACAACCACTGCAAAATGTAGTCTTATGAAAATGCATTATAATTACAGAGATATGTTTGGGAACATAACATCCCTTCTGATGATAAATGTTTGACCTATTGCAAGTTTCTCTAACTACCTGTCATCTCATGTGAAGATCATTTATAGTATTAACTGGACCTATGGGGATCTCTGAGGTATTACTATTATTATTTGCTTTGTTTTTACTAACTGGAGATTTAAAGGATAGGACATACCAGTAAAGTAGCATTATCTTTATGTGTGAAAATGTGCCAAGTAGGCATTTCTTAAATTGTAAGTTTTATTTGTACTTGAGATTGTAGAACCATAGATTTTATTTTGGAGGCACTGGGGACCTTATAGCTCATCTCCAAACTCTGTTCAATATAGAGAGGAAACTGCGGTCTACCAAGGTTAAGTGACATGCTCAAGGTAACACAACCAGTTATGTCAAGGCTCGTAATCAGGTCTTTATAAAAGGTGATAAACTAGATTGTGTTAGTGGCACATTAAACATCTGACAACATTCCTAAGCAGGAAATATGCCCTTATATTTAACATAAATTATTTACTTCCTCTTGTTAGATACTTGGAAGAGATGGAGCAGGTGCTTTTAATTCTAGTTCTCTTATTACTTCGTAATTTCTCATTATTTAATTATCTTTTTTCCTAATCTTCTTCAGGAATGCCTTGCATACTGGGGATCACATTTGCTGCTTTTTGTCTTTGTTTTAACTACAGCAGTACATTTCTAAAAGATTCTGTGTATATTGTTCCCAGGACCAGCTACATAACTGTGGGTCCTTCATTGTAAAATTGTTGAGAATTTCAGGATGGCAACAACAGAGCATTAAGCTAAACATAGTGCCCTGTGTGACCACGTAGGCTGCATGCTCATGAAGCCAGCCCTGCTTGTTCTAGGTGTTTGGTCTGAATAACATACCAAAAAATATTTTGAAACACCATGGAAATTAATTTTTTTAAATAAAACAGTAATAAATTTTTTTGTTTTTTTTCTCTGTGGATGAGTTTATTATAGGCAATATCATTGAAGCTTTTCCCAAAATTTCTTGAGGAGGAATGTTAGAATTGCAAAACTTAGAAATAAGAAATGTGTATGTTACTTAGAAGTAAGAAATAAGTAATATATATGTTCCATTTGGAGTGATGATCTAGAGTGCAGGAACCAAGTGATCTAGTTCAGTCCAAAAACTGGTCCTTAAATACTGAGTTGTCCAATATATAATTGGATTTGGTCTTGGGTATTTAATTTGGAGGAGGAGGTTAGATGATTTTTTTTTTTAAAAGGTATGACTGTTTTCCGGCATCTTCAAATGGAAGCAACTTGCCTTAGCTGTCCTCTTTTATATTAATACATACGTATATACATCGCTTAAGTGACAGTGTGGCTGTATTTTACCAGGTATGCTGAATTTCACCTTACACTTAAGTGAGAATATAATATATTCTGATGTTTTATATGTACATTGACTATTTGATACATCTGTTTCTTGAATTTGAATAATGTTCAGTGTTTACTTGAATGATGTTGATGTAGATAGTAAATAGATTTTTAAGTAAACAGTATTTGAAGCTTTGTGTAGTGAAAAGACTAGCCTATTTTTTAAAAAAGACTAAATAAAAGTTAATTCTAAGTGATCAGGTATACCTGAGTACCAATTTCTGCCTCTTTGTAAATTTTTAGATATTTTATTTTCAGGTTAAAAAAACTTGAAGTTCTATTTTATAACATAAATATAGTAAAGTGCCATATTGTACAATCTTCCTTTTCACATAAATGTTTATTGATACTAACCTTTAAAAACTTTGGCTACATTATTTCTTGCTTTATTAAAAACTTACCACATGACAAATATATGTGCATTTTTTATTTATGTTGGCATTAGATTTTTTTCCTAATCTAGTGCTAAATAGTTATATAGGTCTGTCTTTTTTAGAGAAAAGTAGGATTTTTGAACGGTAATGCTATTTGACTAAAGAATTAACAGATATGTGTATATTACAATAAATTTCAAGAAAAGATTTTTTTTTTTTAATACTTTGGCATTATGGAAGTTTCTGCCCTGTAATGCTAATATAAATTTTACCAGTAGTAGAAAGGATTCAAATTTTCATTGCCTTTTTTCTGTTCATCCTCTTTTTAAGAGATGGCCAACAGTGCCACCATCAGAACAGACAGGCTTTTCTCATCATAAGTATTGGTTTTGATAAAAAAAAAAAAAAAAAACAACCCTACACATAAGAAGTGGTGGAAAACTGCATGTGGTGAAATAGATAAAACATATTGTGAGATACCAGTGACATAATGAAGCTGCCTCTGATTTCTTTTATGAGCAAATCAAATTCATGAAATAATTCTTCAGAAACCTGTTACTAATTTGGACACACATTTTTGCCAGGTCATTCTGTCTAGGTAGCATTATATTGATGTCAATTTATTGTCTTCATCTTCAATTTGTTGTTCAAAGAGACAGTCTCAAAGAATATAAAAACGTGAAAATGATCAGACCGTCTTGGTCTGATAACATTTTCCCTAATGTGCATTTTGAGGGCCATTTTTTTCATTTGCCTTTTTCCTATATATGTGATTTATTTTTTAAATAATGAGACTTTAAAAAGTAAGCTGCCAAATTAATTATGATTATGATGATTCCAGAATCTATATTAAAGCATAAAATTTTCCTTTCATGGTCTGATGCTTACATGATGCAGTGTATTTATTTTTGAATGAAAAGAAACCTGGTCCCCATCTTCCTGTTGACATCAAACAGTCTTCTGATATGCTAATCCAGCGTCAGGGAGAGCACATAGACAGGCTTTATTTGGACTCATTCCAAATCTGTAAGAAAATTATGTGTATAGAACTGATTTTGCAGCATGGCCCCCTTAGAATGAAAAGTGATGTTGACACAGTCTGCAATTAAAAATACTTAATATTGAAACATGATATGGGAGGCTTTCAGCATTTGTGTAATACCCTTTTTTGCTTTTTAATTACCTGGTCATCTAATTGTTATTTGCTTTTTGCTACTGATGTTAATAGCCATTGAAATTACTAAGTTCATTTCTATAATATGTGTTATAATAAACATTAACCTAAAGTTATTGGCTTTTCCTTAAAGATTTATCCTTTTGGTATATTGAGTACATATGAGACAGTGGATATAATCTTTTGCTAAGTATGAAGTAGGGATATCATCAGATTTCCCTGTGTTGTTTTTCCTTTCAGCCTGCCCTCAACTGGTCACAAGGGTAAAAAATTGACAGAGAAACTTGTTTTGGAGTTATCTGAATTACAGTTTCTCCATTTGCAATAACAAATCGAATCAGTTGAACTTCCAAAAACATTTCCAGAAAAAAATGCACTACAGTACCCATTTAAATGTTGATATCTGTTAATAACTATTTGTATATTTAAAAAGTTAAAATTATCAGAAAATGTCATAAAAACTTGTTTAAATGTAGTATTTCATGTTGGTCATTTATAAATATTGTTAAATAGGAAACCAATTGCAGTTTTAGAAAAATAATTTTTATGTAATCTTTACAAATTTTAGGAAACTAAGAACTTTGTTCTTGAAGGAAGTATATTCTCCTAGCAAATGTAATATAGGAAAATGGGCATAAATATATACCTCTGGTTTTGCAGTTCCTTTGGTGATTGCGGTCTTATGCATGATGGCCCACTCTTTCCCAACTCGTTTGTTGGTGCTCAGCTCTTTGCCCAGACCTTCCTATAATGTTTTTCTTCCATGAAGTTTGGATTCATCCATTCAAAGTACAGGTTTCTTATAATGTGCAATAGAAATATTCATGAAAACTTTTTACATAAATCTCTTTTTTAAAATTTTTAATAAATTAACTGATATTTCAAATCACCAGGGTGGTTCAATATTTAAAAGGAATTCTATAGTGAAACCTTCTGTCAGGAGAAGAATTGTCTTTTAATGAACATAATTACCTTCAGGTTTCCAGACTATTTTATCCTGGGTTTCCTTAAAATGAAATTTGACATCATTCTTTTAGGATAGGATATTATTTTACGTAGATGTTAATTTTTTGAAATATTGGACATCACAAAGATGTAGAATTATATGGTGTGTGCTAACTTCAGATATAATAGTGAGAAATTTAAGCTAATATGTCAGGTAAAATTCTTGGAATCATTCACTGTGGGAAATCATATGCTTTTTAGTTGGCAATAGATAGATAAAAGGAAATGTTTTTCTGACTTAAGGCATTTTGCATGTCAGAATCTAGTCTTAAGATATTTTAATTCCTAATAATTCCTATTTTTAATTTTTTAAAAAGCATTTTAAGAAACAAAAGAGGCTAATTCCTGAAAGGACTGTTTGGAAGTACTTTGTTCAACTCTGCAGTGCTTTGGAACACATGCATTCTCGACGAGTCATGCATAGAGGTAGGATAAAAATCACAAATAATTTCTAATGTTGTTTTAAATGATGCAGGTTATTAGGCAATTTAAGAATAAATACTTTCCAGTCATGGCCTATATCATGCATTCTCAGCTAATTTATTTCCAAATTATCGTTTACTAGGATGAAAACCTTTAACTAAAGCCCTACTTGTTTTAAATAAGAATGAGAATTATTGTTCTGCTCCTCTTCTGAGCATCTTACTGATTATGTTGGTAGCTTAAAAAAAGAAAAGGGGCAGGAAAGCAATTGAATGTGCGTAAGGAAGATTCCTTTGTCAAACGAACAGCGTATATTAGGGCCACTTTGTTTCTTAATTTTTAACATTAGCTCTTAATATATTCTTGATTGTCAATCAAAGAGTTGGGCATAGCATGCAGAGATGACATCACTTAGGAATTGATCCTCCGATTTTGGGGTCTGAAAAATTTCAATACAGTTTATTTAAGCAATTATGATTTCTAAGGTCATCTAAATAAATAATTATGTTCATAATAGAGTTATGATTTTATATTTTATATAAATGTATCAATAAATTAATGTTGAATAAGATATTTAATGTTGATATAAATGGGCATAAATTTATTTTGTGCTTTGAATTTCACAAAAGTTTATTTGAAAATGCATTTTAAATGAAAATTAGTAGCAATCTCCATCATGCTGCATTGATTATTTCTCTAGCAGAGGACTGAGAACTCAGAAATAATGAGGATAATATATCAAAATTATTCAAAATAAAACAATTGGGTCAAAATTCAAACTGACTTTCTTTCATTTTTAAGATAGATTTTAAATTCTGTCATGAAAAGTATTTTAATCCCTTGAAAATACCTAAGCTGACATCATCTTTCACCTGATTCCTTTATCTGTTCACAGATATAAAACCAGCTAATGTGTTCATTACAGCCACTGGAGTGGTCAAACTTGGGGATCTTGGGCTTGGTCGGTTTTTCAGCTCCAAAACCACAGCTGCACATTCTTTAGGTAAGAGACACAGTATAATTTCACTCAGTTATTGTGTGCGTGCGTGTGTGCGTGCATGTGTGCATGTGTGGTGAAAAACAGCATAAAGGATGTACTAATTATATGCCAGCTCTTAGTTCTAAAGACAACTATTTTTAAAATCATCAGATCCTGAGTCGATCCCTATCGCTCTCTAGTAGACATAATGTGTCCATTCACCTGACAGTTGGCTCCTTCTCTTAATTTGACCGCAGGTAGACATTTGGGAAAAAAAAATGCTAATCTTCATTTAACAATATTGAGATAATATGGAGATATGATGATGATTAAACCATATCTTGAAAGAGGACTTCATCTGACTATTTAAAAATACCATAGAAATTTGTAAATGTTTATTTATTAAAACAACACGTATAGTTGTGATTACTGCAGAGGGGAAAACCTAAAGATGGTCTACAACTAATGATAAAAATATTCCCCTAAATTACATAGAAGATATCTGCAGTTTATTCATTCTAGAACTAATAATATGGCAGTGTCCCTTATATCTAAAATAGAACTGAGGGGCACCTGGGTGGCTCAGTCGTTGAGCGTCTGCCTTCGGCTCAGGTCGTGGTCCCAGGGTCCTGGGATTGAGCCCCGCATCGGGCTCCCTGCTCAGTGGGAAGCCTGCTTCTCCCTCTCCCACTCCTCCTGCTTGTGTTCCCTCTCTCGCTGTCTCTCACTCTGTCAAATAAATAAACAAAATCTTAAAAAAATAAAAAAATAAGATAGAACTGAATGTAGCTATTACAACATTATATTAACGATGGAAAGTTGTCCACTTCAAACAATAGAAATTACTAGGAAGAAATAATTTTTAAATCAAATAACCTAAGGAGAGTGACAGAGCTTCTCTTAATACTCTTGAAATCACATTTCTTGTAAATATAAAACAGATGAAACGGTAACAACCAAAATAAAATAAGAAGATAAAATAAGTTGACTTTAATGGTGCCCCATCTTTGGTGTCATAATTTCATTGAAAACCATTAATTTTTTTTTTTTTATAAAATTGTGTTTAAATGTGAAATAAAAAACTTTAAAATGGCCTGGTGAAGAATAAGTGAGTTACACTAAATAGTACAGTAGTGAAATGAGCCTCTGAATTGCTTGACTAGACTTTTTTAAGTTTTTCTGGCTTTGTTAAGTAAGACTCTGTGTGACCTTGAACCTGTCATTTAATTTTTTTTATGTCTAGAACAGTATCTGGCACATTATGTAGGCACCTGATCACTATTTGCTGAATGACAAAATATTGGATCCTGGGTTAAAGAGTGATAGAAAGACAATACTTTACCCTTTTTGCAGAGTTTTAATTTTGTCAACTATTTTAAGAAAATAAAGTTAAAACTGATGTTGAGTAGTAATACTGTCTTGTTACCCTTTCACTTTACATTTATTTTTAGGAAGCATTACAAATTTTTCTGGTTAAGAAGATTTGATAGGAAGGTCTATAAGAAATGCATAAATTTTAGTAGCACTTTCACAAGCTTTATTTGGAAGTTACAACTCTTACAATGCGAATAATAGATTTCTATGAAGAAAACGTAGACTATTCCATGTCATTGTCATTTCTCACAGTAAAAGTAACATGTTTTCACTTTGTTACTCACCTGAATGTCTTAACAACATTCTGTCACTTGTTTACCTAGAAATGCTGTCACACTTACAGACACACACACACACACGCACATCTGTACATACCCATGCTCATGCACACACGTGTATTTTTTTAAATGCTGCTTTGCAGACTGTCACTCTGAGCATATTGTAGTCACCTGAATTATCCAGCAAATGAAACTAAGATTGTAATGGTTTTGGAAATGGACTTCTTTAGCTTGCCTGCCACTGCCCTGTACAAAAGTTCTAAACAGGGTTGACAAACATGCATCTTCAAGTTTAGGTAATGTGTTAGTCCAAATTATGTGATATGGAGAGTAAATTCATTAAGAAATTCTGTAATATCAGGTTTTATCTAAATCAGTTTATTTAGGGTCATGTGGGTTTTATGTTATATATGTAAGTATATATGTGTGTGGGTACATAAAATAAACGGGGATGCACATAATTACAGAACATTCTGAGACACTCCCTGTAGCGCAGCCAGTGAGGAAGTGGCAACGAGACACTTTCTGTGATGGATGAATCGGTAGGGAAATAATTTCTTTCACAAGTATTTTTTCCCATATTATTTTGAAAAAAAAAATTCTTAAAATAAGAAAATTTCTTTTATTCCTGCTTGTCTTTTCTGTGAAGTGTAGATTTTGATGGTCTGAAACTGACGTTCAGTAAGCAAACTGTAGTGAACATCAAGAATTAAAGATTGAACTCTGGCCTACCATGGCTAGGTGGACCCAATAGAAAACCTATTGAGAAGGATTGGGAAAAATTGTCTGCCAATCAAGAATATGTATAAAATAACAAGGATATAAAACCTGACATAGACTATGTTTGTTGACTTATGTTACTTTTAAAGAATTATTACCCTCATATGTTATTGTCATGTATTTTTAAGAGCAAATTGTAAGATTACTTCTAAGACTTGGTTACAAAAAGCAATTGAAAATGTGGCACCTATACAAATTTATTTTGCTTATAGAAAATATGATAAAATTATAGATTTTATTCTGTGTTGATTTGTTTTCTGATTTTACTAAGAATAATATCTTAGGGCATGAATTATCCTCAGAGAAGGTCTAAATTTTAATGAAACTACAAATAAGTGAGATCTGTATGTAGTTCAGTTTACGTTAAATGAAGTTGATCTTGGAGCCCAATTTCATTTAAGTTTGTAAAGAAGATGTTTTTAGGAATTTAGTTCAAAAAGGTAAAAATTAATAGGATTTTAAAAACACCTTGCTACAATTTTACACTTACATTTTCTTTTTTCCAAAATATATATTACTATTCAGAAATGAAGTAAAGGATACTGTTTTTACTTATTTTGATTCCCTATTAGGAACCCATACTCCAAAATTTTTGTATTTTTAACAATCCTTAAAAGATTGGCAAGCCTTTGAATTTTTCAATTGTCTATTCATTTTGCATTACTTATTTGTATTATTTCATTTCGTGATAACAAATCAACATGCAATAGAATCTATAGTTCTCACATTTTTTGTAGTGAATAAAGTTGTACAGGTGGTCACATTTGTAGTGTTTTCAGAACTATTTTTCTTAATTAAAAGTATGTCAACAAGGAATAGGCTTAAAAATAAAATCTGATGTTGCTGGATGTTCAAACAATGTTTAAATCCTCAGCATAGAAAAAAAATTCTCAGAGGCCTTCACTTTTCCTTCTACTCCCTCCCTGCTCCCACCACATACTTTGAATCACAGTCTCTTTTCTGTTCCCTCTTCCTTAATCCATAGTGACTTTATGTTTAAACTGGGAAAATATTCTCCCTTGTTTCTAGTATTTTTAAAAAATCAACTGTATATATTCCCAGCAGAGTTATCTTCCTAAAAGAGAGCATCTGATTATGTCACTTTCCCCCAAATCCTTGATGGTTCCCTGTTGCCTTAAGAATATCATGCAAAGTCCTTAGCTGAGTAGTCAGGGTCCTCTAGAGTTTGAGGTCTTCTACTTTCCATTTTTGCCATTGACTACACAGCCCTCCCTCATGTGCCAGCCATGTTTTTCCTCTTGCTTTGTTCTGAATGTGAGAAATAGCATGATGTTTTGGAGAAAATGGAAGACATCTGGATTTACATGTCCTTTGTACTGTAGGACTTTGATCAAGCCATTTATTAACTTTTCTCACTTTTCAGTTGCCAATTTATAAAAATAGAAATGTGGATAATAACTATTCTATGTTGTGCCCTAATCTCTAATAATACAATTATCTCTAATAATACATGAACATAAAGGTGTTTTTGTTCACCGTAATGTGCTGTTAATTTGCTTAGGTGAACATGAAGGTGGTGTTGGATGTAGAAAAAGGAAGAGGGGAAGAAGGAGAAGGAATTTATGTACTGTTTATTGTTCTGTTAGTTTTAGTACCTTTCTTATGCATGTGCTATTCTAGGGACCAGGAACAAGCCCAAACAAGACCAGCCATCTTCACAGATCTTATCTTGTTGGGGGAGGGAATAGATAATCATCTTATGTCTTCGTTTTTTTATTTGTTAGCCATGTGACAGAGCGTGACTAGGAGGAGAATTATGTTAGAAGGGACAATGGTCAGATAAGGCCTCGGTGAGGAGGTGATGTTTGAACTGAGGTCAGGATGCAGAAGAACCAGCTACACAGGACCTAGGGAACAGTGTCTCAGGCTGACTGAAGGGCAGTTTACACAAAGGGGCACACACAGGATCAGCTCTGTCTGTAGAAAGTTTGCTGGAGCGGGGTGAAGGAAGGGTCTTAGGCAGATGTGGGAAAAGTTCACATCTCATTCCAAGTGCTGTGGCGAGCTTCTGCAAGGCTGTAGTTGGAGAGCAACACGATATGCTGTGAAGACTGCAGCCATGAGCCTCTTTCGTCTCCTTCAGGATAATCATGCCCAGTATTGTCTGCTGTTTTCAGGTTCTTCTGTGTCCGGTGGTTGCCTTCCTTTGTCTCTGAGAGCCTCTTAGGATGTGCTACCCCAAACTGAGCAGAGATACCGCATGAACTCATTAGCCCGTAGAACAGAAAGTTCGTCACTGCCTATAATCTATGATCTAGACAGTTCCTTTGTTTTTGTCCCCCTCCTCCTTTTTTTTTTGGTACATGAATTTATGTTAAGTCAGATCTTCATTTAGTGCTTTTGTATTGATTTGGACAGAGGGTGTTACTAGGGAGACTAATTGTAAGATTATGTATATCCCTGTGAATCTTGCCATTTTTTTTTTTTATATTGTCAACCTTATAAATGTTATAGGTGTCTTAGAAAATCCTATACATATATATATATATATATATATGTATGTCTCTCTCTCTATATATGCCTATATATGTATGTCAATATCTTAAAATTTAATTCAGGACACATCTGTCT